ATGTATATAAAAATTTATTTTGTGTCTGATAATGTTTATTGTATGCACAAAGATACACATTCAAACATATTTACATATGCATTTGTATATACACGTATGAATGTATGTGCACATCTATGTTATGCGAGTGATATTATATCGTTATTTGCAGCATTTTTAGTCTGAATTGAAAAGAATCAGTAGCAGTTAAGTTAGTCTTTGAGCGCGGCTTAGTTGTGACGGTGAATTATTTTGCTACTGAACTTGTAGTGATCGCTTAGTAAATTGATATTTACCAGAAAAAAAATTCCAAATACAACTTTGAAGTGCAATTTACTGTACGTGAAAGTGCTGTATAGGCTGAGAAAGTTGAAAAAGTATATTAAGTGAAAACAAATTATAGAATATAGCTAAATGAAATGTATGAAAAGTTAGAAAAATATACAAAAGTGAAATATAAAGAAAAAATAAATAAAACTTTAATTTTTAATTTCTAATCGCATTGCGACGAGAAAATGCTCAAAAAAAAGTGAAGAATATTGCCTGATCTTTGTGTGGAATGTAAAAAGAAATAAAACAGCTAAGCTATCAAAGTCAAAGTTGAGTTTACTTACTATTGGGAAATGGTCTAACCCAAGAAATATTAAAACGAGATATTTTAAAAGTTAAAATAATAATAGTAGACTGCCATTATAAAACATAATTAAAAAAAAAAATAAATAAAAGGCAGCAAAACATCATAAAAAAAGGAAATTTTTATCTAAGAATTAATCCACAGATAATTAATCAAACGTTAACCAAAAAATTTTAAGTAAAAAAAAAACAACAAATCAAAAATTATTAAAAGATGAATTATAAAAAAATTAGATCATCTATTATATGAAAAAATCGTTCTAAAGAAAACTTACTTATATTAAATTAGCTTCGGACAAATAAAATTCCTTAAATAAAAAAGTGCATTTGCTGCTATTAATACTTCGATTATTTTAACTTAACTCAATTAATTTAATTTTATTTCGATTAAATAATTTAGCTTTATTTTATTCTAATTTGCTTTATTTTATTTCATTTTATTTTATTATATTTTTTTTGAATTTATTAAAGTTATTTTTAATTTATTTTTTTTTGCGTAATTTTATTTAGTTCGATTTTTTTCTTATCTTTTAATTGATTTTATGTAATTTCATTCAATGTGAATTTGTTCTATTTCATTTCATTTTATTTTTTTTTATTTTTATTTTATTTTAATTTATATTAGTTTGTATTATTTTAAATAATTTTATTTTGCTTGTGTTTTGTTTTATTTTATTTCATTTTACTTTATTTAATGTTATTTTAATTTAAGTTAATTTAATTCAATTTAATTTAATTTTATTTTATTTAATATTTTTTATTTTATTTTATTTTATTTTAGTTTATTTTATTTTATTTTATTTAATTGATTTTTTTTATTTTATTTTATTTTGTTTTTATTTATTTATTATTTGAATTTTATTTTATTTTATATTTATTTTTATGTATTTTAATTTATTTCATTTCTTTTTCCATTGCTGCTTATAATACCTACAGTAGTTCATAATTTAAACAAATGACATTTATAATTGGTTACGCAGAGAAAAGAAGAATTATTATGTATAAATATGCACAAGTATACCCTTATATATTATACATAGGCAATTATGCAGGAATTTTTTAATTTCAATTCTTTTTTGTTTCTTTATTGTGCAAGCTAATATATTTACATATGTATCGTCTTAAGAATGATAAGTTGGCAAAATCTTAGCCTTTCACCGGATATTATAATTAACTAAATTTAAATATATAATTTTTTCATCTTAATTTCGTGCTTATACGTTGGTATGTTATTCTTGTATATGAGGGAAAATTATGCATTAAGAAATAGATGTGTATTATTTCGCTAAAATATTATAATTAAAGCAGACAGAGATTTTTTTTGTTACAAAACTCATCTTTGTTTTTGTATATGATTGGATAAGAAATTCCAGTGATGATAACTAAACTCCATTTATACATATATCTTAACAAATAAACATGTATTAGGGGTAAGGCCAATAAAATCACTCATACGACATGCCTAACCCTTTGTGTAAGTAAACAGAAGCATTAAGATGAAGCAGTACTGTGCGATTAATAACTAAAATAATTTTATAGTTAATTACATCTTTAATTGAAAACGCTTGAAAATATATACTTATTGATTTTATCGTATTAGAAATATTCTCAAGCAGTTCGGACCCGGATTTTAAAAAGATGTTAAATCTTAAATTGGACTGAACATTAAAAAAGTTATTTTAAATATTTCAACATTGCGATAGGGAACTCAGATAAAAGATAACAAGTTTAGCTAAGTTATCTACTTAATGCTAACCTCAATAAAAACATTTTATTTCCTACATACATATAAATGTATGTACAGATTTCTCATTCTAATAAGGTACATTCACGCCTTCCACTGGCAGATTGATGCTTATTTATAGTGAGAATAATAAAAAGTAATTGCACTTAAGTTTAATTCACAAAAACTGCCACTATGTTATCACAACGAGACAGCAAAGTAAATTAATATGTGAAAAAAAACAAGAAATCAAACGAGATTTTCGCAAACTTTAGATGAGACTGTTATTTCATTGTTACCACCCAACGTGAAATGAAAGATACACAATTTTAAATAAAATGATAGAAAACGTGTGGAATACTTACTAACTGACAAGGCTGAAAGTAACCACAATTAGGAGTAAAAATTTGTTTTTGACATAACAAGATTTAAAACAACAAATCTTAAATAATTTTTTAATTATATTATCGTTATCTAATTTTTTTTACGATAAAGGAGATGATATTTATAGCTACATCTAATTTTTTTAATAACTAAATATTATTATTTGTTTTGGATATAACAAATTTCGGCATTAAAACGTGAATTTAAATACATTTTTTATTTGCTATTCCATTTATGTTGCATGTATACTCAAACTGCTTTCCAAATTAATAATCAAATATAACATTTACTCGAATATATTAATTTAAATATTTATACGTGTTATTTCATTATCTTAAAATATATTTCTTAAAATTATGATACACAAATCTTTGAAATAAATATTCTCTCCAAGAAAGAATTTATATTTATATATATATATTATATATTTATATTTATTTAAGTAAAATTAGTTATATTTTCTTTGGCGTCATTTTATAAACACATCATTAAGTGTGTATATAGCTTTTTCATTGTAATTCTTTACAACAATAATCCGTTTTGCAAACGTAATTTTTGATTTATTTCTTTATTGACTACTACTGCGTAGTGTCTGTGAGGCTACAAATAATAATTACCCTTCAGGAAATGTTTAGATAGTGATTGTATAGAGAATATTGTTGGATGCATTAAATTACATTAAATAATTCAAAGTTTTTTCTTATTCATTCATAAATTATTATTATTATTTTTATAATTTTTTTTTTTTAATTTCTATATAATATAAATTAAAAAAAAGGTATTTTATTATTAGTACTATTTATTTTATTTACATTTGTATCAACTTCATATGTTGATACTTTTCATTTTTCTTTGCTTACTTCTTTTTTTTTAACTTAAGCTAACTTAAACTAATGTATTTAAAGAAAAAATAGGGTAAAAATGGAAAACTAATATTTATTATTTTATTTGAGCATAATTTTGACTTTTAAAAATTCACACTTTGTTTTTGATATTTCGATTCCAAATTTTGTATATAAAATAATTTAAATTTTTACTTATATATATATAAATTTTTCGTTTTGTGAACTCAATACTGAACTAAACTCACTTATTTGATAAATATTTTTTTTCTTTTGCTTTCAATTTAAAAACTTTTAATCAAAGATGCATAGATATGTTGGGAGTTGAGAACTTTTCTATAATATTTTTCTATTGGTTAAAATTTGTTCACATGAAATATAAAAGGAATTTGTAAATAACAAAAATTCCTGGATTGAGACGAGTGTCAACTGGAAAGTAAATTCTTTTATTAACATTAAGTTAGGCTATTTATTTTACATTTTTACTTACTTCTGTAAATGTATTAAACTATTCCGTTAAGCTGCGTAAGAATCTAATTTGCACTCAAAATTTCCTGCAAAGCCTCACAACTTCTACAAAAATGCTCCAACATTTCTATCAACACATCCATATATACATAACATTAAAATATAGTTGTACAAAATCTTAATGGATTAAAACTTAATAAAAACGAACACATGGAAAGCACTTATATAAACACTTACGGTATTATCATGTAATGTCTCAGTGTCTTGGTGACATTTAAATGAGATACAAAATCAAAAGTGTAACAAACAACAGCTGAACGACAAGATTAAGTAGTATACGCACATACCCATGTTATTTGCATGTAAACAAACTTTGTAAATTTACTATGGTTGGCATACATACACAATCGTATATACTTACATGCCTGCCAAAGATAATATTTGAAGCAAATATGTATGTAAAACTCTGTTAGGCGAATGACAATTTGACAGTCTCTTTGACATTCGCTGTAGAACATTGCCGCTAGAGATCAGCGATATTCTCATATGCAAATATACATATATATGCACTCATACAAACATGCATAAATACGTAAACAGCTACCACTACTACAGTAGCTAGCATTTGTTTGAGTTTGTCACTTTTTCGTTTGTTTTAGCAACCGCCGCGGTGTATGGTAATCTGGCGCTAACTCCGTCAACTTTATAAAATAGCAGTAACATTTGCACTTATCTACTTATTCATAGAACGTTCGTCGTGATGCTTACACAACCTTAGTGTGAAAATAGTGAAAGAGTGTACCAGTAAGTGCCACCGAAGGACTCGAGAAGTGCTTGCATATAAAATGAGCTCTTAGTGAAAATTCATTAGAAATAAAATACAAAAATTATTCATCAATGCATAAACTTACTCGTGTGTGTGTTTAAAAAAATCGAAATCTCAAAGTGAACATCGTTAACCACCTGCAATCATGGTGGAGATCGTTAAAAACGCACAACAGGACAATGGTGAAACCATTGATGATGAGCGTGATGTTGATGTTGAATCACGCCTGCTCGACAATGGTAATGTGAAGTCAAGTGAAAAGTCAAATGGTGTGCAGAATGATGAAAAAACGGACAATGAACAAACCATGTCCGAGGAGATTAATAAAATATTAAGAGATATGCCTCTGACAGATGATGTAACATGTGGATTTTGGTTATTCAAAGGACGTTTCTTCCAAAGGTAGGCAGGTGAAATGATGAGTTAGAGTTAGCGAAGCTATAAAATTTAATAAAATTTAATTTTAAATATATTTTTTGCTTTTTTTTCTCACAAAAATTAATAGTATATATTAAAAAAACGTAAATTAATTATTACTGGAGGCGTAGTTTTCGACAGATAATACTGAAACCATCTCAAGCCCAATCGTTGACTAACTGCAGTGTGTGCTTATATATTAACTTTCTTCTCCCTCTTCCCCATTTTATTTCACTCTATTTTCCAATAAGGGCTTATGAACAGAAAATCAAAGAATTAATCGCCTCACAACTGAAAAAATTTTATGAAGAAGAAAAATTTTGCCACAGGAAAGCAGTTTTCAAAACGGAAATACTTTTTCTTCCATCAATATTCTATATTTTTTATTTTAATCATCATCAACAAATAAGTTCTATGACGAGAACTACAGCGCCAGTGACATTAGGGAATTAATTAGTCGTTTTAGTTTACAATTTTGGGCAATATCCTGTAGGCTTTTCGCTGCTTAATCATGAAACTTGGCGGTCGCAATAGCCGAGTGGTTAGCATCGCATACTGCCATTCTGAATGCCAGGTTCGAGTCCTGGTTTGACCAACATCCAAGCCCATTGAAAATTAATTTTCTTAATTTCGTTCTCCCCTTGTCAGGGAATGTCGAGTATATTTATGACATGAAATAAAAATCTATCAACCGTTTGGGGGTAGGTCCCTGCGAGACAATTGATTCTACCACGCTTCTCCTGAGACCAAATTTTCATCAGCCAAAACATAACCCATAGACAGGAACATATAGTAATCACTTGGTGTTGAGGTCGGGACTATAAGGTTGCTACATTAGAATCTCCCAACTAATCCCTCGTCGCTTCGGGCAAGTCACTAGCGATATCTGTGATCTAACGTTGACTTGATGAAACACAATTCCCCTGCTATTGTGTGCTTCTATACATTTAGTACACCCCCGAATCAAAAGTTTGGGATTAGCGGGGTAGCTCATCGTAGATGATTCCTTGCAAATCCAACCAAACACACAAACAATACTTTCTGGCCGTCAATTCTGTTACGATTACATCGAGCTTTTTTGTCTATGCAATCGTTTTCAAATGTTTTTTTTGTGTAATTTTTAGCTCCTGTGCAATCGAAATAGTACTGGCATAACAGCTAGACTCGACAGTTGCAATTATTTTATCGCAGTTTTTGCCAATTGGACTTTCACAAATTTAATGAAACGGAAAAAAAAACAAAAAAAAAATTTTGCTTGACTCTCCGTTACAGTAGCAGAATCATAAACACTTCACACACCTCCTTTCGCTGTACGGCAATTCCCTTACGTAAAGTGGCAATGCAATCAGGTTTAATGCCACCCTATCTTCTAGGAGTCGCCGTACAGCTCAAGCTGAAATATTATCTCTCGCAAAAGTGCTGAAGTGGCTGGATTATATATATAAATATGAGCATGAGACTATCAGACCACTGCAGCGTCTTCCAAGCAGAACTCTTTGCAACCATGTAAACTTCCGAGTGCTTATAACATGTGAAGGCAATCTGAACAAATTCTAGAACAAATGCAACACAGCTGTGGTCTAGGTATAGGGACATGTACCTTTTTAATAGCAAAATATATGCTAATAATAGCTTTCGCCATAAAACCAAACACTTGATTGCTGAATGAGATCACTTGCAATGTGACTAGACAGCCATGGCCAAAAAATCATAATAACTTATCGTTTTAGACCGGTTCTCCATTGGTAAGGGACAGCTGTGCTAACAGATCACTGAAAACAGGAGCCTTACAGCGCCTATTGGTCTACTCAACTTACTTCATAACTTCATCGCCGTCTTCTTTCGCACTTAATAATGAAACAAAATTCCAATTGCATTTTTTTTCAATGAAGCAGATTCTTTATGTTGGTCACAAATCCTCAAGAGTAGTTAAAAGGTTTTCCCAGTTGCGTTAATTTCTATACATGGCTTCATCATACTTCGTCTCTATAGGAACCAGTATCAGCACCAATAACAATGTCAATCTTGAAATTCTATGCAGAATGACTCTGAATTGGTCTGTATACTATCTACGATGCATCCCACGTTGGAAGAGTTGCTAAACCTTAAGGTGCTGAAGAGTCTGAAACAGTTGATTGAGACAGCCTCGCCATTACCTTCTCCCTATAATCTGGGAATATTAGACGGATTCACTGTGTTTTTCCGTGAAAGTCTGATAATTTCCCTTTTACTTTTTCCAAGGAATATGGAGTTTATGTTGACATACTTAATTGTCTTAAGCGTCCCTTGACTGTCTTCCTGAAATCTTATAGATTTTCCAGTGAAAACGGAGGAGCATTGATTACCTTCAGTAATGACAACAGCCCCTTGGAATACAGAGCTGTAGGCATTGAGTTTGAAGCTATCTTAGTAATTGGTGTAGTCACAGAAAAACACTGCTCCTGTGCCGTCCTCACATTTAGACGCATCAGTATTGATATGGATGTGGAGAATAAAGCTCTTTACCTGCAGAAGCATTCCATTTCTCAGTCGTATTCCCAATACGTGGACTAAACCCAACTATGTAGAACATTTAGGCGGCTAGCTCTTAGTGTCATCCAGTTCTTTATTATCTAGTAAATGTCATTTTTTCTCAACGAAGCGTGCCAATCTAAATTTCTTTTTCAATGTAGTCTGTTATTATAATAATGCAAATGCAAAAAAACCCTCTCCACTCTTACAGATTTGCTAACCAAAATGCCTACGTACTGCTCTACGGCATTGTGGGTTGTGTATTCTCAATGACCTACGCCTATTTCAATGGCACGATCACGACTATAGAAAAACGTTTTAAAATACCTTCGAAAAACACAGGCATCATATCGGTGGGGAATGATATAAGTCAAATGATGGTCTCAGCAGTGCTCAGTTATTATGCGGGGAAAGGACATCGACCGCGTTGGATTGGTTTTGGTAAGTGATAAATATAAAAGCGTTTTTTCTTTTTTCTCATTTTTTATGCTCACAATTTTCATACAATTTTAGGTCTTTTAACAATTGTCATCTTCTGTTTAATGACTACCTTGCCGCATTTACTTTATGGGCCAGGCGAAGATGCTTTGGCGTTAACTGCCGAGTTTGGTGCACAGCCAGATGAAAATGCCACAAAAGAAGCGATTGAGAAACAGAATTCGAAAACTTTGTGCCGCCTAAATGGTGGCGGTGCGGAATGTGAGATGGGTGAGGGTAATTTAGCGCCACAGCTTGTGCTATTCGCTGCACAATTCATCTCGGGAATTGGCGGATCGCTATACTATACGCTGGGTGTGTCATATATGGATGATAATACGAAGAAATCGCGTACGCCAGTGCTGCTGAGTAAGTGTTTATGAGCGAAAAAGTTTACTTATGAAACACATGAAATTTGTAGAATATCTTAGAGAAGTGATTTAGGTCTAGTTGGACGTTTGTGTAATTTTTATCTGTTCAACTTAACTGTCTCCCTGTTTTGCTTTGCGAAATTGGATGCTGCGAGCAAAGTCATCTCAACGCAATGGCTGTAAATTATTTTTAAAAAATGTAATCATAAGCGAACTGATAACAAATTATCACATAAGCTCTATAAATCTTCTCGCTTAGGAGATTTAAAATTTTTTGATAAAGCACTTTAGACTTAGAAATCTTATTTACTTAATCTTTATTGCCCTCTCGTATAATTAAGCACACAAATTTAGAGCGAAGGTGTTAAATACAATATTTGTCCGCATAAAATATTCTGTGTCAAAGTATGAATTTTTTACAGCAAAATTGTTATCAAAATGTGCAAGTAATACAATTCAAAGTAAGCGGTGGGCAGTCTGAGTTTTTATTGAAGTAGTGCAAACCCATCCAAACGTATACAATTACAAAATTAGAAGAATTTCATTATATTCGCAAAAAACTGGTTATAACAGTTTCTTCATGCATATTATCTATAGTAAAGTAGTTCACTTCTTCATTTACGACTGCTTACTATGCTAAATTTTCTTTCCGCTGGATGCAAAAGCAAAAAAACTTACAAAATAAAATGTTGCCTACATTTGAGCGCATAATCAAGTAACAATACACAAGGCACCCATGCGAGTTAGGGGTTCAAGAAATTACCCGCGGCAAGTCATGCCTGTCGTAAGAGGTGACTAAATCCAATTATTCCCGCCACAGTCGGGTCTTTATACCGGAACGACCCGGATTTTTATCCGGCTAAGGACTGTCACTCCCGCAATTTTCCCCAAAAAGTACTTTGGAGAACATTTTTGCGGTTACAACAACAACCACATATATATATATATATATATATATATGCTCTATCGATAAAATAATTTATCTCTTCTCATTTAGAATTGCATTTTAAAATATCTTTTCCGTTAATAATCTTTGCTTTTAGGCTTATCCTATTTTCTGCGCATGTTGGGTCCAGCGTTTGGTTATGCGCTTGCCTCCTTCTGCCTACGCATCTACATTGCACCAAATTTACGTCCTGTTATCAATAATAAGGACCCACGTTGGTTGGGTGCCTGGTGGATGGGTTGGCTAGTGATTGGTGGTATGATTTTTGTATCAGGCATTTTTCTTACAATGTTTCCTAAACAATTACCACGAGCTATGGCAAGACGTATGGTTGAGGAAGAGCGCCGCAAACGCATTTCGTTGAGAGAGCGACAGCAGAACGGCAGTAAAGAGCAAACGGAGAAGGATCGTTTGGCTGCGGAGATGGAAGAGAAGCCGATTGAGGAGACCAAAGCATCTTTCTGGGATATGTTGAAGACTTTTAAGCGGCTGCTGAAAAATAAAACGTTGATGTGTAATAATTTCAGTTCGGTTTTTTATCTTTTCGGTTACACACCCTACTGGATATTTACGCCTAAATACATTGAGATACAATATCGGCAATCAGCAGCGACATCTAGGTAATTATAAGTTAAAAGGAGATATGAGGTTTAAATCTTAATCAATCACTCTTTCTGATGCCTTTAAACCAATTAAATTGTTTTCAAAACGTTGATTTCATTTTCGTTTATTTCCTTCCACAGCTTGGTCACTGGTACAGTCGCTTTGGCCTTCTCCGCTGCTGGTATATTACTCTCAGGCTTTGTGATATCGCGATATAAGCCACGAGCGCGCTATATGGCAGCTTGGAATGTAATTGTAGGATTTCTCACAGTAGTTGGCATACTGGCTTATGCATTTATCGGTTGTCCGGGTAATGAAAAATCGGTTATTGTCAATATACATGACAGGTAATTAACAGAGGTGTTGCAATTGATACTCAATACGAGTATATAATATATTTTTTATATTATTTTTCTCGTAATTATAGTGCCTTGAATAGTACACCCACCTGCAATTCGGATTGCCATTGTGATTATGTGCGCTACTCGCCGGTGTGCGGTGAAAATAATATGACATATATTTCGCCCTGTCATGCGGGCTGTAAGAAGCAATATAGAACAGCCACTGGCAGAAAGGTGAGTGCAATAATTGAAAACATTTTCTCTAATCCTTCTGGTTTGCGTATCTCAATCTTTCACTCTTCATCTACCTGCCTAACCAGATTTATTACGATTGCACTTGCATACCTAGCAACAACTCTAATCGGAGCTTAAGTACCATCGATGAACGTCTTACTGCGTTAAATCTGAAATCAGAGGTTCACATTACTAATAACGAAAATATCTCTACCACCATAATGCCTAATGAGCTCACCACAACTACAGTACTTCCTGATGATCTGCTAACAACAACTACAGATTTTCCTGACGACTGGGCGACCACAATAGATTCGACAGCATTACCAGCGACTTCGGACATGTCTTATCCTGAGGTAAGTTTCCTTGTTGTTCTTCTTCAATTGTTTGTATGAACTAAGAAGTAATTTCTATAATGCCAAATTTATACGCCTGCGTAGCTCACATATGGCGGTCAGGCGAGAACTGGCGCTTGTCCCGTCAACTGCTATGCGCAATTCGTCACATTCCTCTCCGTGATGTGTTGTTTGAAATTTGTTGGCGCCACAGGACGTGCTTCAAATTTCCTGGTGTCCGTGCGTTGTGTGCCCGAGAAGGATAAGACCGCCGCCATGGGTTTCGGCATGATGATGATGTCCATGTTGGCATTCATACCCAGTCCCATTTTCTTCGGTTGGGTACTCGATCGCATATGTCTTGTGTGGGGTAAAACGTGTACGAATAAGGGCAATTGTTGGCTGTACGATCCGGAGTCGTTGAGGTATGTTCACTTAATGCTTCTGCATGCTCCGACTGCAATGTATATGTGTAAATGTGTATTTTCTCTTATGCTAGATACACACTCAATATAACTGCTTCGGTGTTTGTCGCGATTGGCGCTCTATTCGATTGGGGTGTTTGGTATTATGTGAAAGATCTGCAAATATTCGATGAGGAAGTCAAAGAGGTGGAGATGAAAATTGTGCAACACGAAGAAGAAGTGAATTCAGTTAAGGATATGGAAGTGTAATTCTCATATACATATGTATATACGTTTAGTTTGTTAAGTAATATTACGCAGCTCTTTGTTCGATAGTTTGTGTGTGTGGGTATTAGTGTGTGTGTTTGTGTGTGTTTTGACAGTGCATGTCTGGCTGTGAGTGTGTTGACATGTAATTTTCTAATAAAACTAGGTTATACAAATTAATAAAATGCATGTAAATACTTTGTTACGCTGTGTTTCCCTATATATGTATGTGTATATATTTTCTTTTATTTTTTTTTTTTTTGTTATAAAGTATACAGATATTTAATCGCAATTGAAATTGAATTTTATTATAACATTGCGCACGAGTGTTTTGTAAATAAAGTCAATTGAATTTATGCTAATTTACCAAAGTTTGTGCCAACAACATTTGCATTTATTGTATTTTGTAGTCATATGAAATCAGTAAATATACATTTGTATATAAGAAAATTTGTTGGGCCTTATGTTAATAGTTTTTGAATAGTAATATTTCCTAAAATAATACTTTATCATTATATAATTACATATATACATTCGATTTTTAACAACTTAAAAACAAAGTATTAATAGCTAAGATTTATTGTATTAATGAATTTGTTTTAAATTAATAAACTTCAGCTATTGTGCAGCTACCTATATATATATATTTACGTATATATATGTATATAGATCAAATACAATAAAATAGTTTATTTTGATTAAAATATAAGTAAATAAAATAAATCAAATGCATTCATATTGTATATTAAGGATTATAAGAACAAAATATTCCACTTTTGAATTTTACTGCCAATGTTCTATGAGAAAATCCACTTTTCTGCTAATCTAAAAATTATTCTATTCGAAACTAATCTTCCAACTTCGATTTTTAATTTAAAATTTGAACTGTATTGAACTTCTCGCTTGGTGTTAGTGTGACACTCAATGATCTTAAGCTTCCCATTGTAGAACGATGATCAAGCAATTCAAAGATCCTTACGTTACTAAAGCTTTCTATACAGCATTAGTAAAGTCTAACCTGGAATACGACTCAGTAACTTGGAACTCGAGTTATCAAATTAGTTAGTATATAATCCAATAAAAAACAATTTCTTCTTTTTGCTATGAGACATTTTCATTGGGACTCTCAATAAAATCTTCCGTAGGCGAATGCTGGATGTAATTTCTATGCTTAAATATTTTTTATGTTGGAGAAGCATCAAGACGCTAAAACCACAAATTGGAGGAGGAGCTCGGCCAAAAAATCGCTTCAGCGGTTACACTAAAAATATGTAAAATGACAACAAGCTCTATTTCTAGTCTCCCTATTCCTTCCGAAATCTATTTTAATTTGTCTTCTAGAACGTCCACACATTTTTGTCCTTTGACTATAATAACTTGTGAAACGAACTAAGAATTCCACAAGCCTTTGCACTGTTTGTGTCTTGATTTCAACCCTCATTCCAACACATCTGACATAACTGACTTAGCAAGGCGGGGTATGCTTAGAAGTTTGGGAATAATAATAACAATTCTTAATATTTTAGGTTAGTTTTAGCAAGATACACGGTGCTTAAAACCTTATTTCTCATTTCTAAATATTGTAAGTCGATTTTAATGAGTTCGCTTGGTAACAATCCTAATGTAATGTTCCACTCCGGATTTACTTATTTCAGTTCGAAAAGCAATAAGTAACAATATTTTTCGAGAGATGGTCAGTAGACCTTCGAAAAAGTTACAGGAAATCAGTAGTCCATAGATGAATTTAGCAGGTTATTTTCAATAAGAAATTAGTAGCTTCTCTGTCCTAGTGATTTTAAAATTACACTAAAAAAATTATAATTTTTCGAGTTTTATATTCCACTTTTGATTGCATTAGAGATTGTTATAAAATCTTAATATTCCAATCCTGATTTCGAAAATTACCTTCAATACGACAAACGGTCACCTCCCTAATCTAAAGAAAGATTGCAATAATTTATTGTGAATATTGTATTTTCATAATTTATATTTCATTTCCGAAATTTGTACATTATAATAAATACTTCACTCCAGAAATTAATTTCATATTTTTCTATTTTCAATCAACAAAGGTTGCATTTATTACATTTATTTACTGTGGGATAGTCATAAGAGATAGTCGATAGATGGAGAAAAAATTATAAGACTTAATATTCGACCTTTGAATTTTATAATCCTCTTCTCATTCCAATAGCTTCTCTACTGGAAAATAGTAGTTATTGTTTTAGACTTCAACCTTCCAGGCTTGATTTAAGTGATACAATCGGTAGCTCCATTATCACAAGATTTTTGGTAAATGAAATGAATTTTTGTTTTTCACAAATATGCATAGGCAAAGAGTAATCTATTTTCCAAATGTCGAGAAAATCGAATCATGAATGCTTCCCGGAAAGAAAAGCTATTTATTTTCCAGATATGGAACCATACAACTAATTTTCCCAAATAGATCGTAACCGAAGTGGGTCCAGAAAGGCAAGCTCTCCACATATTAAGCAAAACTGCTATTTGTTCCCTATATTGATTTATGCCCAAAGTGGTACCGTGTAATCATCAAATTATACGTAAACCAAACAATATATGAAATTTCTTCGAACAGATCGCTCCCAAGCCCACTTCGCGAAAGAAAGTTGCTTCCAAATTCCAGCTCGAGTGATAAAAAATTGATTAGATTTTTGCGTGTAGGTCTTTCCAGGTTCTTATTGTTTGCAACTTCATACGCCAGATACACCCATCCAGTTTGAGGTCTCTTTGATCAGTGGGTTGATCCGTCAGTCATTGACAGCAAAGGCTTTTAATAAATAAATAAATATAGTATCCATTGATATCCACTTACGCTCCTCATATAAACAATGAAATAAATTATTTAATTTAGACTAATGGAAAATGGAAAATTTGATCCAAAAATATTACACCATTTCAACAGGCGCACAATTAATGAACTGACAAAGTTTCAGCTAGTTGGCATCTTTTCGCTCAGAAAACAGCCCTGAGAAAGTTCGAACAATTTAGGTAAGAAAAATTTTAAAAAATAACACAGTAAAAATGAATGTGTAGCGCCAAATGAAATAATATATGACTCGTGAGATGTTAATATTTTTTTATTAAAAATGCCAATCTGCAATCATAACTATTTTTCTATAAACTTAAAAATCTTATAATTTCCATATAAACCCATGATATTTTATTTAAAGTCGAAAATATTTCTACACTAAACAAAGTGAAAGTCCCGAGTGGCTCATTCGATCCTCACTACTGGAAGCAGAGGAAGCTGGAGTTGTAGATGACGTTTGCTCTCTGAATTGTGTCGCGCGCTACAACCCAGACATTGCCTCCGATTATAATTGATAACACGAAGTGACAAAGTAAACTAAATTAATAAATAAAATTAAAATAAAATTAAGCAAATTGCAGGCAGCAAGTCCATAAAATGCAATTAAATAATAGTAAAGATAATACAATGTTTGAGATAGTACCTATAAAGATATCAGAATTTATGATTACTTTAAGATTGAAGCTTCTCCATTTGAAGCGCACACTTTATACGTGCATCGACAGTGATCCCCTGCAGCTGTGCGTTCACGCTTCCAACTCACTGATAGAAAATATGAGAAAATGGTACAACTTGAAGAAGATACAGCTCAGACTGATGCAGCAAAAAGAACGAGTGATGTTGAATTGAATTTACTCAGCGAGTCGAGATTGGATATCTCTGAAAAGCAACGTGCGCAGAAGATAAACAAGAATATGGAGGAGGATGAGCGAGTGAACACCAAAAAGGAGATCGATGCATACGAGCGTGAAATGATGTTAACTGAAGATGTGCGCTGTGGTTTTTGGATTTTCAAAGGTGCATGCTTTCAGCGGTGTGTGAGGAGAAATATTTTCTTTTTTTATTTTAGCAATAATTTAATAATTGAATTTTATTTCCGTTTTGATGTACAGATTCGCCACTCAGACGACTTATGTCCTCCTCTATGGCTTAGTGGGCTGCGTGTTTTCTATGACTTATGCCTACTTCAATGGCACGCTGACCACGATTGAGAAACGCTTTAAGATACCGTCAAAGAACACTGGCATAATAGCGATTGGCAATAACATAAGTCAAATGACCGTCTCTGCTGCGTTGAGCTATTATGCGGGTAAAGGACATCGACCGCGTTGGATTGGTTTTGGTGTGTAGTTGAGAATAATATTGTTTTTTTTTAATTATTCACTATACCTCACTTCAGGTGTGATGACAATTGTCGGTTTTTGTATGCTCACCGCAGCGCCACACTTTCTGTACGGGCCCGGTGAAGATGCGCTCGGGCTGACTGTCGAATTTGGCGGCGTCGCCGATGAGAATGCCACTCAGGAGGTATTGGAGCAGCAACGTGCGAAGTCTTTATGTCGCGATCGTGGTAATGAGACAGCTTGCGCATTGGAGGAGGGTAATTTTGCGCCGCAGGCAGTGTTTTTCCTTGCCGAAGTCATATCTGGCGTGGGTGGTGGTCTTTACTACACACTTGGCGTATCCTATATGGATGATAATACGAAAAAGTCCAAGACGCCCGCATTATTAAGTAAGTGTGCCAGTTTTTGTAGTTATTTATTTAGTTTTTGTTATCAATTTTAATAATGCCAATTATGAAGCGTATGAAGATTTCACAACAAATTAATTATTGTAGAATATTTGTTTTAGAGTAAGGTTGGTTATAAATCTATTTTAGATCTTTTAAAACAAACACTTAGAAAGATATTTACTTCTCTCCCTCTCCCTATCTCTCTCTTTCTCTCGCTCTCTCTCTCTTTCCTTAGGCCTTTCATATTTTTTCCACATGCTTGGTCCCGCCATCGGCTACGCTTTGGCCTCCTTCTGTCTACGCCTCTACATTGCACCACAATTGCAACCAGTCATAAATAACAACGATCCACGTTGGTTAGGTGCTTGGTGGTTGGGTTGGCTTTTGCTGGGTTCTACACTCTTCCTATCTGGCATACTCTTCACTATGCTACCGAAAGAATTACCGCGCGCAAAAGCTCGTCGGGTTGTTGAAGAGCGCAAACGTCGAGAGGCGAGCGCTTTGAAGGGTGAAGCGCCTGATGAGCCCGCGGCGGAAGAGGAAGCTTCATTGAAAGATATGTTGATCACTTTTAAACGAATTGCAATGAATAAGACCTTAATGTGCAATAATATTTCATCAATTTTCTATTATTTTGGTTATACGCCTTACTGGATTTTTACACCGAAATATATAGAAGTACAGTATCGACAATCGGCAGCGACGTCGAGGTTAGTTGGCGCTAGTTTTAAAAATAGGTGGAAATTAAATTTTATTTTGTTTTAATAAATTTTATGTTATTTAAATTAGTTTAAATTTCGTTTATATTCTTATGCTATTATTAATCTGATTTTATTAACCCGTATTTATATTATTTATTTTTTATTAATTTTTTGTGATTTTATTTATTTGTTTTACTTTATTTATTTTTTAATTTTTTATCTTTTATCTTATTTTGTTTTGATTTAGTTTATTTTATTTTATTATATTAATCTTATTTTATGCCATTTAATATTATTCATTTTAATTTTGCTTTATATTATTTTATTTTTAATTACTTTTCTTTTATTTTATGCTACTTTATTTTTGATTCTATTTTGTTGTTTTTATTGTATTTTATTGTGTCTTCTCTTATTTTATTTATCTTTTTGTTTTATACTTTAATTTATATATCTCAATTTAGTTTAATTATTTTATTTTATTTATTAATTTTTTCATTTTATTTATTTTTTATTTTATTTGTTTCAGTTTTTTATGTTAATTTGTTGGATTTTGTTTTTTTTTATTTTTTTTTCTATTTTTTATCTTGTTTTGTTAATTTTATTTATTTTAAATAATCTAATAGTTTTAATTTCATTTAATTAAATTTTTTTCTTTATTTTATTTTATAAATGGTTTTTTTTTTTTTTGTATTTTATGTTGGTTTATTTAGCTTTATTTTATTTTATTATCAATTTGTTTGAGATTAATTTATTTTTTATCTTATTTTCTTTTATGGCATTTTGTTGTATCTTATTTGATTTTATCTTAATTTATCTATTGATTTTATATGTTATTTTATTTTGAGTTATTTTATTTATTATACGTAAATTATTTTATTTTATTTTTTTATTTCATTTTTTAATATTTATTTTTTTATTTTATTGTGTTTTACGTAATTTATTTGGTTTTATTTTATTTAATTATTTTTAATTCAGTTTTTAGTTTTTTTGTCTTATTTGATTTTATGTTATTTTATTTTACTTTATTATTTTAGTGCATTTATTTAATTTAATTTAATTGTTTATATTTTTATATTTTTGTTTTAATATTTATCATTTAATTAAACAATTTTTTGTTTAAGTTTTCCATATTTTAAATCACTTTAATTAATAATATTCATATTTATTTAAATTTTTTCATCTCTTAGCTTGGTCACCGGCACCGTAGCGTTGGCTTTCTCCGCGCTTGGCGTACTTCTTTCCGGCTTTGTTATTTCGAAATTTAAGCCCAGCGCACGTTATATGGCCGCATGGAATGTGTTTGTTGGTCTTCTCAGCGTTGCAGGTTGTATTGCTTATGCTTTTATTGGTTGCCCGGGTAACGAACAATCGATGATTATCAATATACCCGAGGGGTAGGTTTTCAAAAGTCTAAAGTTTTAAAAATTTCCTCACAGATAATTTATTTTTAGTGGTCCCAACAGCATTACCACCTGCAATTCGGCTTGTTATTGTGATTATGTACCATTTTCACCGGTTTGTGGTGAGAATAATATGACTTATATTTCACCATGCCATGCCGGCTGCAGGCAAGAGATAATCGATGGTAAGGGCAAGAAGGTGAGTTTGAGATTGTTTTGGTAATTTTAGTACAGAAACCGAAACTTTATGTATAGACATATGGGACATAAAATTTTAATTTTCTTATGCTTTTTTATTATTATTTAGATATATAGTGACTGCAGTTGCATTGCAAATAATAATTCTTTAAATCACGTTAAGGGATCATTGTCGGAATTATGGCAAAACACAAAACTTTCTGCAACTGTCACAAATGTTGCTGAGCCTTTCGCAGTGCTTAAAAAATACGAAAAACCTCTGGTTAGCATAAGAATCTACTTTATGTTATTATCTCTTAACTGACTATTATGAAATCCAAAAATATTCTTCACAGCCTACTTTTGGCGGCCACGCTACTGCTGGTGCCTGCCCCGTCAACTGCTTCCGTTCAATTCGTGCTCTTCTTGTCGGTGATGTGTTGTTTGAAATTCGTCGGTGCCACTGGTCGGGCATCGAACTTTCTGGTCACAATACGTTGTGTGCCGGAGCGCGACAAAACTGCTGCCATGGGTTTTGGCATGATGTTGGCGTGTTTGCTGACCTTTATACCCAGTCCGATATTCTTCGGTTGGTTGTTGGATGGCTTGTGTTTGGTGTGGGGTAAAACGTGCACGAATAAAGGCAATTGTTGGCTATATGATCCGCTGGCGTTGAGGTAAGGCTTACAGTTATGTTAAGGTAGTTTGATGAAAATTATTTGAAATCATTTTAGATACACACTAAACTTCACCGCTGCGGCTTTTATATTTATCGGCACAATTTTTGATGTTGGCGTTTGGTATTTGGTAAAGAATTTGAAAATCTTCGATGAAGAGGTGAAGAAAACTGATGCTGGAACTGAAGAGGAACAAGAAACTATGCTTGCAAAGGAAAAGTTATAAAGTGACATTGACTCTATGTATGGATTTGCAATGAAATATAAGTTTATAAATAAAAAGCAAACGCAAAACGAATAGAACATAGTGGATGAAAATTGTCCGATTCAGATATCACTTTAAAAACTTTCTGCTCTTATTTAAAAACTATTTCACATCCATAATTTTTTAAAAAGTATAAAAATTTCATCAATTTATTTATTTTAAAGCATATTGTAAAAAACGACCGCAGTTTTTTAGTTCTATGGGCGATTATGAAAAGTATGCTGTATTTATATCAGTAATTTCACATAACAGTTTGAGAGCAACTCTAATAACAAGTTTGAACACCAGAGTGTCCGGTTTGAAACTGTACTTGGAAAAATAATTTGTATTGGGAACAGTTAGCCAAGGCATGCATTTCAGCCTATGAGTATGCTACAGTTTAGTATCAATATTTTATGACTACAGTGGCGAAGAAACTTTCTTTTAGTTAATAAAAACATTTTATTGGTATAAGAATAAAATAAATTGCAAATTGCGATTGTGGTAAATAAAATATATTAATATAATAAAATGACCATTGAATTTTTTAAAATTATAGCGCGAAATTTTTTTTTATTCATTTTGACATTTCTCCGAAATTACTCTTCTTACTTTCTAATAAATTTATACCAGACGCCATTTCGTTTTGTTCATATGAAAAATAAATAAATGATTTTGTTTCGTTATGGCGCCACTTTATTGCAACGAAATGAAATTGTTAATGTTGAAATCGCACAAACTCATCGTTACATACAGCTGCCTGCTGTGTTCATTTCAAATTTAACTTTTAACATTGTCTGTTAACGATTAACATTATCTGTTAACGAATAAACATTATATGTAAACGACTTATCATTGACGACAGCTTTTCGTTTCAAGTAAAAACGAAATAAAATTTATTTTGAAAACTGCTTTAACGATAATATTTCAAAATCGATTGTTTTTTTTTTATTAACGTGAATTTTATCGTTACGATGCAGGTTGGCTTATACATATTAAGCACCTACTAACCCTCAGGAACTTAAAACTATTACTTGAATATCAAAAGTTTGGAATAATTAAAAACTATATAAAAAAGTAAAAAAATAATTAAAAAGCATTCACTAATGAAATTTATTTATTTTAATCAAGTAGTTCCTAAAAATTATGTTTGCATAATATTTTTTTTTAATATCATTTTGTAAATCAAATAATAAATAATAATCACAAAAATTTCACTAAAAATTGATGGTCACCTATTAAATCAGTGCTTGTTTATACATATGTATTGTACATATATATAAATGTATATAAGATCAAAAAGTGGCGAAAGCTGATAACGCCCAGCAAGGTGCAGTCGGTGAGCGCCGGAATTTTGATATCCCTTCATTTATGACCTTCAATAAATAATAAAAAAAAATGTAATAAAATATGAAAATTAAAAATTACAAAAAAAAAAAATTAAAATAATAAAATAGATAAAGATATAAAAAGCAAGTTGAAAGCAGTTTAATGGTGTCAAATAAATACATACGTTCACATATATACATACAGATATAACAGCAAAGCGATAAAAATGCAATGAGACCTGGAATTTTATTTTAAAAATATTTGCAGAAAATTATTATATAATTATATGCCTGCCATAAGAAGTCTGTTGGAAAGATGTGGTGGTCTCCGAAACAGCTGTCACTTCCACCATTTTCAATTTAAATTATAAAATATAATTACAGTAATCTGAAGGATTTGGATGGCTCGAAGTAAAAACAAAATTTATTTTAGCATGAAAAATTTTAAGGAATTGTTTGTTTTTTGTAAAATCAATCTATATCCTGTTCGCAAATAAAACCTTTTAAAACTTTAATACTGAAAACTGATGGCAAATTTTACCAAAAAAGGGTTTTGAATATATTTTTTGACACTTTCTTCGTGTATCACCTTTTTTTTTAATTTTGATTTGCATAGACTTAATCAACTTAAGTTCTTAAACATAAATATTTTGTGTTCAATTAATCAGATAAGATATGATTATTTCAAGAATTTCTTGCTTATACATATGTACACTAAGACCAGAAAGTTTGCAGATATCGCATTTTTCGCGGCTTAGTTCAACATGAGTTCGGTCCAACAGGACAGACGGTAAATAAAAAAGATTATCTCAGCCTTTTGAGGCGTTTGCGCCGCAAGCATCTATCGTAAACTTCTGGAACAAACAAATTCCGGTAACTTTCATGATGAAAATGCGCCATCGCACAGCTCGGTGTAGTTGTGAACAATTTAAAGACTAAAAACTCGTTCAATACCATCGATCGACCACCGTATTAACCGGACTTGTCCTCATGCGACTTTCTTTTTTTCCAAAACTCAAGTTACCACTCCGTGGAGCCCGTTTCGACTCGATTGAGCCCGTTAGAGAAAACTCGCAGAGGAAACTGAGGCCGACTGATTTCAACAGCTGCTGCAAACAAACCGGTTCGAAAGATCGCGCTCATTTTTGGCATAGTAATTAAGGACAGTGTTGCCAACTTATCAAAAAAAAAGCCAGTTAAAAACTATTTGGAAAACTGTGGGTGGGAAGTTCTACCTCACCCGCCTTATAACCCAAACATAGCACCTTCCGATTAACACTTGTTCAGAGCAAAGCAGAACGCACTCACCGGAGAACGCTTCACTTCAGAGCAGGGTATCAGAAATTGGCTCGATTCTTTCTTGACCTTCAAGCCGGAGAAATTCTTTTGGGATGGGATCCACAAACTGCCAGAAAAATGGGCAAATATCGTAGCTTCCGATGGGCAAAACTTTGATCATTAAATTTATAACCAAATATATTCTGCTTATATATGAAGATATTTGGATTTAGATCAGTCAAAATAAGTATTTTTTACATGGGAGGTAAATCTAAAACTGGAACTATAAATAGTCTAAAGGCATTAAATCGCACGATTTAGGCGGTCAATTGACCGGTCCCAAACGTGAAATAAAATGTACACCGAACTCGCTTCTCAATAAGTCCATTGTTACGAATGCAGGGAGGCATGTGGCACCGTCTGGTTCAAACCACATGTCATGCAAGTCAAGCTCTTGCATTTTGGTTAAAAAAAAAGTTTGATATTACCTCACGGTAGCGCTCAAAGCGACCGCGAAATTTTCTTAACAGATCACGCATTTTGATAATAAAATTCAATAATTTGCAAGCGTTGTTCGTTTGTAAACGATTCGTGGTTAAATTATAGACCAAACTGAAGATGTTTGACAGTGATACAAAACACGAAACGTGCGTCAGCCATTTAAACCAGTGTTGCCAAAAAGATAATAGCGAAAAAATCACCCTTTATTTATATTCAAAATTCTGTAATGACTTCAGAAATATAAGATCATAAATTTAAAATTTATTTTAAAAATCTCAGTAATCTATGAAATTTTATTTAAAATCACTGTAAATCATCTGTAATTACAGTGATTGCCAACCACCGAGCAGATTTCATATAACTTCTTCTTCTTTCTTAATAATTTTGGCTTATAGAACACTTCTACATTTTGGTATCTCTTTTGAAGCATTTTTTAAATCAAAGAGACAAACTATGAGTATTCTTCAGCGGTGAAGATCTTCCTTATTGTAAGAAGTACTACGAAAGACTCCCTTCCTTTTAAAAACCTCTTTAAGCTATTTTTAAGTTTATAAACTTTCGTAAGAACTTCTAAATATATATTTAATCTCCATTTTCAAACTGTGTATCACCGGGTTGTATCGGCTAATCTGATTAAAGACCAACTAAGTATCCAAGTATTGTCAGACAAACCTAAGTATTAAGTTCACGTCATCAAAATATCATTAATATTTACTATTAAAAAATTAGTCATTTCGATAATTGAATTAATATTATTCATTGCATAAAGATCCATGAACAGAAATGCATTTGTACTTACACTCACACATAAACATCTCACCATGGCAGGGCAGACAGATAAACAGTAGTTTTCCAGCTCCTGCTCTGAGGCGATTAACCAGCGATTATTGGATCAACAGAAAAAAAGGTAGAGTAAATAATCGCAGTTGCAACAACAAAAACTGCCATATGCAGACTATTAGTATGTATATTATGCGTTGAAAGAGAGAAGAAAAAAACAGAAAATAAACAAAATTAATTATAAATCATTACAATAAAAAAAATAATTATTTTTTAATAAAAATATTAAAGCTATTTTTAATTTCATCTGTACATATCTACATAAAGGACAAGCTGCTGGGGCAGGGTGGTCGTGTAAGTTATGTGCGGGTGCGAATATTACCAACAACAAAAGCAACAACAATAAGAACAACTTGCCAATGCCACTGACACTGTCATATCCACCTATATTTGTACACCGCAATGTTGTTGCTGTTAATTTCATATTATTATTGTCGCTGTTGTCATCAGTCAGTCGGAATTGTTGTTGTATGTATTACATTTATTGCTGTTGTTGTTGTTCCCGCTATCGGTATTTGCTGCCGTCGTTAACGCTAGCTTTAGCCAGCCTCGCTATTACTGGGCTTGTTGCTGTTATTGTTGTTGATTTGCTTTTGCTATTTTGCTGTTGCCGTTTTGCTTTTGCTACTTCGCTGTCGCTGCCTTGTTGTCTTGGCTTTCGCGAATTTTCATCGCTGTGTAGTATTTGTTTAAACGTTAAGGCACACACAACGCCAAGAGGCTCTACGGATCAACAAGTGGTGTTAGTGTATCGAATTCCCGAAAAAATCCTCCAGCAACAGGCGGCAAAATAAAAATTCGATTTCATTTTTTTTTTCAATTTTCCTATCGATATTAATTACTAAGTATTGTACATAGTAGTTTGCGCTCGTGTCAAAGACAATCGCGAAGTGTATTTAACAACAACAAAAAAAAAATAAGCTTATAATCAAGGCAAAAGGTATAAGTAAATTCCGTTAACTAAATATTTTTTAAATTAATTTGTGTTAAGTGATTAAAGTACGGGTAGTTAATAGAAAGAAATCAATAAGAAATAAACTTTTTTTTTATTTAAAAAATATTTTTTGTGTGTGTATAATTTTAGTTTGAATAAACTGGGTATGTTTCTTATATTTTCTTACATTTTGTGCTTTACGCTTTGCAGTTATATCTTGGCTCATGTGCTCTAATAAACAGTTAATCGATCAAAGTTGGGTATGATTGCCATAGAAGTACTTATTCATTAGTTACAAATTTAAATCTTTTTATATTGTAATAATTATTTTTTTTTTAAACTTTTGTTTTATGGTAGGGGCAGCGATAAGTTCTATTTATTTATAAGTTTTATATTGTTTTTAAGCGTAAAAATATTATTTCTGCGAAAATGTTTGAAAACTTACATATTTTTTGCGCTTTCAATTGTACCATCAATCAATTGTCGTTCACAGATAATCTCGGTTAAAGCTGATAAAAATCAGTAGTGGGGGCGTTTAAGTGATTTAAAAACTATTTTTGGTAAACTGTTTGACAATGGCTCAATAATTTTTAGTTTAAAGTGGCAAAAAATTACGATAATTTGACAATATTTTTCCTATCACCAAAAATTTTAAATCAATATTCCATGCTTTCCACAACTAACCTCAACAGTCGGCTAATAAATAATTAAACATTATCAAAGTGGTGCAAATTATCAAATGAAGTCGTAAACATTTTTTTATTATTATTGTTATTGCAATACAATTGCTGGCGAACTAATGCTGGTTTTCCATAATTGAATTTTATTTTAATTATTTAATTAAAATATCTTATTTTATTTGATTTTTAGTTTTATTTAATCAAATTTCATTACATTTTCTTTAATTTCTTTTTTTTATTATTTTATTACTGTCCTTTCAGTTTGTTCTATTTTAATTAATTCTCTTTTATTTTATTTATATATTTCTTTGTCATTATTGTTTTGTTTTTGTTTTAACTAATTTTTTTTAAGTTACTTTATTTAGTAATATTTTATTTTCTTTTACACTATTTGATTTGTATATTTATATTTACTTTATTTTCATTTATATTCATTTATACAAGATTATCTTATTACAATTTTTAATTTCATTAAAAGTTTAATTTTATAAAAAGTTAATATTAATTTATTTTATTTTATCTAAATTGTGTAAATCTTGTCCGATTTTAATTAATTTTATAATTATTTAAATATTTATTTGATAATATTTTATTCTATTTTGTTTGATTTTAATTGATTACTTATTTTATTTTATTTTATTTTTAATTTTATTATGTCTATCTTTATTTTAATTTAATTTTCTTTATTTAATTATTTTATTTTATTTTATATTAATTTATTAAATTTTAGTTATGTTTATAAACTTTATTTCATTTTATTTTTCTGATTTATTTATTTCATTCCATTCTAATTTTTTTATTTTTAGTAATTTATTTTAATTTAATTAAATTTTGTTATGTTTCATTTTATTTGGTTTGTTTTATTTTCCTTTCTTCTATTTTATTACGTTTTTATTTTCCTTTATTTTATTTAATTTTTCATTTTTATTAATTTAATTGTATTATTTTATATTTTATTATATTACTTTACTTCAATTCACGTTTTATTTTATTTGTTTCAATTTAACCTACTTTTTATAGTTTGTTGTCGTTTGTTATGTTTCCCCTTTTATTTTATTTTCTTTCATTTTGATTTTTTTAATTTTATGGTTCTTATTTTATTTAATTTTAATATTATAACATTTTTTATTTCATTGTATTTCATTTTGTTTAATTAATTATTTATTTGTTATATTTTATTTTATTTTATTTTATTTTATTTCATTTATATTTTGTTTTTAATATATACTAAATTATTTTATTTTATTTTATTGTTTTTTAATTTTTTTATTATATTCTATTTGATTTTGTTTTATTTTATTTGCCATAATAAGCAAGTAAAAACTAACTTAAATTCATTTATTTTTATTTTGTTATTTATTTAGTTTCTTAATTAGATGTATTTAATTTTAAATTGTTTTTACTTAAGTAATTTAAATCTTCAATTATTTTTTCATTTTTTTAAATATTTTTTATTTAATTTTATATTATTTGAGGTTGTTTCATTAAATTTTTTTATTTTGCTGTTTTTTTTTTAATAATTTAAATTTTTCTTTGAATAAGCGCTATAAATAAAATAGAAAATCTTAAAATTATTTTTAGCCTTTTTACGAAATACGGTTTTGTAGCTTATAAAAATTATTTTTTTATTTGTCGGCCATATCGCATATAAAATTCTGTATTTGCACAACTGTTAAGAAATGCTTATCATTTAACATTCCTTTATGGCTTTGGTTCATTTTATGACGTATAATCTAGGTACATGTGTACAAACATATGTAAAAGTGTATGTATGTATTTGCTAAAGAAAGAATTGGATTTTTATTATGGAATGGGTGCAGTTTGAGTACGCACATTATGTTATGTACAAATTATATAATGTGTGTATTTGCATTTACGTAGAAGCATCTATAAAAAAGTTATCTGCAAATATCTTGTGATCATTACGCCTAAATACCGTTAAATCGTTGGCAGGGGCAGAGGAATTCCTTTTCGAGACAATTGTAAATATTGTGCAATAATTATATGTAGTGACATTCCAATTGGTGTTAATTAAAGTGAGATAAAGGAAAAAAGAGATTTAGTTAAAAATAGTGCTTTCCTTGCATTAAAAGCTTTAGGCGTGAATTTGCAAAGAAATGAAGATAATGATGTCAATGTGTCTGAATATTTTTACATTTAGATTTTTCTGCTAAGGTTTTTTTTTACAACTCATCATCACTCCCATGGATAAGCTGGTCAACATCATATACATCCATTGCTTAATGTTAAAGTGTTGTCGCTTTGCTGCAAGGCGTAAGAGTGTTAATTAGAAGTCAATGAGAACAAATGAGTTTTACACTTGCTTACTAATTTGTTTATCAGAAGCTTTGGCAAGCGAGTAAGCAAGTTCAAAGCCTGGAGTGGCAGATTAAAGTGGCGGCATTTTCTAGTGAAATATTTCTGCTAAGATGAATGTCAGACTTTAAAATATGTACTTACATATATATATATGTATATATATTACTTGAAAATAGCAATATATACATATATATATATATATATATATATATATATATATATATATATAAATAGAGGTATCTCCATTCGAGAATCCATTACAGTGACTTACTTTAGCATCAAAGGCGAAATATTAAAAACAAATAAGTTCGTTAGCGTGCAACGTCAAAAATATAACCCAATTTTTTTTATTTAAAATGTAACGCATTTGAAGAAACAACAAAATATATTCTTTTAAATAAGACTTAAATTTTGATAAAATATAATATTATAAAGCAACAGCTCGTACCTTTAATTTTTCCTTTAATTATGAGTAAATATATATAAGAAATAAAAATTTCCTAAGCAACTTCAAAGGTAGAAATCTCTGTAATTAACTAAAAATAATAATAATAATTTTGAAAATTTTTGTGAAGGTCAATCTCCAATATATTTCGTCTATTGTGTCAATAAACGCAAAAGTAATTAAGGCTTAAAACAACAAATTTGAATGAAATTACGTGTAGTTATAGATTTCATTAAATAATTTTAAAATAATAGCCACAACTAAATTTTTTTAAAAGAGTTAAGAATGCATTAAATTATTAAATGGAAATATATGTGTTTTAATTTTGCTCTAAATATATGAAAACATATAAAATCAATCTTTAATTCAAAAAATTAATAGCTATAAATATCCCAAAAAATAAAAGTTTTGTTAATCATAATAAAAATTTATTTATTTTGGATTTTCTTTAGTCTTCTGCGCTTATAAAATAAAATTTATAGCAAAGAGTAATATATATATTTTTTTATTTTATGTTATTTGAAAATAGCAAAAGGCGAAACGCCTTCACCGTTAAAGCTTTCTCTAAAAAAAATGTCAGTAATAACACATAATAAATAATTCCACATACTCGTATGTTGTTTCTCAAAGGCTATTATTTTCAGGTATATCGCCATTAAAACGCTATTGAAAACCTTCGTTTTGTTTACAAAAAAAATTTAAAATTATAATGGCTCGTTCTCATCTTTTTTAGTTGCTCTCTTCATGAAAGAGGAAATTTACATATGATCAAAGTTACCCGAGGTAATTGAATTCTAGATATTTCTAATGCCAATTCCAGTATATTTCAAATGCGTACTTATAATTAACAATTAGACGCATAAACATACATTTTATCTACTTTTACCATATTGATTTCATTTTATATGCGTATTTTCACTGAGTTCTGAGAGGTACATTGCCTTTCATGACATTTAATGGCTTGTCAAAAAATTAGCAAGTGATTGAGTGATCGATTACTCAATAAATAAATTTATAAATTGTTGGGATTTGATTTTTGTTCTATGCGCAACACACATGTATATATAAAATTTATACAAAAAACAAGAATCGAAGGCAATTATGATTGACAAAAAATCAATTAGCCATATGTATTGACCATTTGAAATTCGTTTCAATAAAATAAATAAAATTAAATATTAGAATATGATTAAAATAAAATTAAATGAAATAAAATGAAATATGTATTATATATAAAATATACGTAATTTGTTTCACAAAAAAACATATTTTATATTTTTTCAGTTGTCTACTGCCCGTAACATATGTATATACTTATGTACATATATTAGCAGTAAATATGTATTATCAAATAATAAATTACCTTCAACAACAATTTTGATTACTGATCTCATGCCAATTATAAATGACTATGAAAACAATTTTCAGTACGTTGAATATGTAAAACGTTAAATTTGTTTGATTCAAAATGCGGTTCAATTAATATGTATACTCCGATTTAGCTGTTATTGCACATACATATATATTTTTATATGCCAAATTTAATACAATTAGTTCAAGCG